TTAAATAGCAATGACTATTAAAATATCAAAGATCGCCTTTGAAAGATATCGATATTAAGAACAGTAACCGCCATCTTCGAAATCGATTAAAAATCAATATTTTTCGATTTTGACAAATGTTGTGGCTTTAGAAAGAATTAGTGTATGCTAATCTATATAAATTATTTCTAGAGAATATTTGTTCCTATCTTTTACGATTGAACCAGTTTATTTAATTAGTGCACGAACAACTCACTAAGTTGTATTTTTTTTTTCTTTTTTCTTTCTTTTCTCTTTTTTGGGGGGATCTGCCTGATTATGAGATCTCTTACTCTTCCATGATGAAGAAAAACGCAAAAGGATTAATAGTTGAAACATTCAAAAGTGCGATTTCAAGAAAATCCCGTTTCAGGAGTTGACCGTTTTCTACTGTTTCTTTTATTTTTCGGTTAATTTTAAGCCGTGGAGTCTATCATTTTGCTTCCATGAAGCTGAACCTTAGATTCAGAAAGACAATAGTTATCTCATATTTAGACAATGAATGCCATACAGGGCGGGCTGAGACTTAAACTAAGTAGGTACACAATTTACATATTTTAAAAACATTTTATTACATTTATATTCATTTGTTACAATCATATTTGCTCAAAACTGTTTTTTATACATTTCTTTAACACTTTACTTACATTTTTTACTACAGTGCAATCTCTTAAGTGCTCAAAATGTCCTCCTCCAACATGTCAAAATTTCTCGAATTTCTCCAGAACACTATGACACACAGCATGACACAAATCCCGATTTGCATCCATTTCAAGAAATACATTTGACATGTAGTCTTTTAATTCATTCACTGAGTGAGGATTTCTCTCATAAACCCTTTTCAGTGCTATTGCAGTATGATATCTACTATTTATTTTCTACTATGGTATGATATTTACCAACGGTTGGAAGTATAAAATATGTTAGGGTTAGAGGTTATGGGTTATGATTAGGGATTATAGTTGGGATTAGGAGCTAGGTTTAGCGTTAGAGGTTAGGGTGAGAATTAAAGGCAGCGAACAGTGAAAGTAAAAAACGCTTTGAAGTGAAAAAATGCTAAGCTTATGTACTGTACAATTTAAATTCCACGATGTAAACATCAGGGGATGGAACTAAATTATGATATGGCTATTTTTTTTAACTATTTGAAACTATAAGTTAAAACATAGATAATTTTAACTATCTACTCAATTTAACTTTATCTATTTCACTTTCAGATGATCATAACAATTTTGTCTTAAGAAAATATCACACTGATGATGAGATTGTGCTAATGTCGAAAGAACTCGGAAGAAACGAAAATGTATCAACATGGCAGTTCTCTCCTCTTTTAATAAGAATACAAGGAATATTGTTAGTGAATAGGAGGATCCTATAGAAAAAGAAGTAGAAAAACGTGCCTAAATTATTAAATGTGAAAATCTTATATATATATATATATATATATATATATATATATATATATATATATATATATATATATATATATATATGTAATATTCATTGGTATATAATCCAAGTGAATCTTAATAATATAAAATATTAAAATTGATCCACAGAGAGATTTATTCTAACAAAGCATATAAATTATATATAATAAGAATGCTCTTTTCACCTTAAAAAGTTAAGATTTATTTCAAAGGATTTTCGAACCGATCAAGGTAATATGAAATAAAATGAAATTTTCATTTCATTTTATCTTATTACCTTGATCGGTTTGAAAATCCTGGCAAATAAATCTTAATTTCTAAAGTGAAATGATCATAAAATGAGATAATTTTAAATTCCTTTTTTTTGTAATAATATATATATATATATATATATATATATATATATATATATATATATATATATATATATATATATATATATATATATATATATATATATATTAAATAGAAAGAGAGAACGTAAACGTTTTTAACTGTAATCTATTTTTAAAAATATATATTATAGATTATCTTCCATTTTTTTTCATACACGTGTTTCGGGTCTTGCAACCTTCATCAGTTGATGAGTTTTTTTCCCACATATTATTTAAAGGAATTATTTTTCCTTATGTTTTCCTATATTTAACAATTGTCTCTTGTGTGTAGTAGCAATCCAAATGTTCTTGGACCTGTGGAGAAAATATACTTCTGCTGAAAGTGTAATAAAACAATTAGGATTGGTCAGAGAAGGAGGGATCAAAGGAAAAAAATGTTCTTATCTTTTTATGACCTCTGCATCTTTTTAAACCTATCTCTATTTTTGTGCATTATGTCTGTGTATTTTTGTTAGAATGTGCAGACATATTTTTTCCACACACACACACACACACACACACACACATATATATATATATATATATATATATATATATATATATATATATATATATATATATATACACACACACACATTCGTATGGTATGTAAGGTTTGTCTGTGTTTAGTCCGGTTAATGTGTTTGTTTTTGCCAGTATGTGATGAACACAACAATTTTTGTTTTTTTGTTAGCGGATGTATCATTGCTAATATGAAGATGAATGTCGCTCATGCATGATGGGGCTCCGGCATATTTTAGTCACATCGTTTAAGTTACAATTATTATTTTATTCGCTCTCCATAGATATCTGTATGGTGTATTTTTGTGTGTGCATGTGTATGTGTGTATGTGTGTGTGTGTGGTCCGAATAGGGTATTCGGCGATTATTTGTGTATGGTTGCGTTTATCTGTGTGGGGTAATTTAATGTTGCTTTTGTGAAGGGAAACTGTTGTTTAGTCCTTGAGTGATACCTACATAGGACGTTGTATTTTGTACATTTGCGTGCATAAATCTCATGTTTTTGAAGTTTAAGTTTTTCTTCATTGTGAATGTTGATGTAGCGTTTTCAAAAGTTTAGAAGTTTCCTTCTAGACTGATGTCACAAACCCCACATCTTTTCTTGTTGCTTTTTGTGATCCCCTGTATTATGTGTTGACTAAATTTGGATGAGGTTAATATATGTTTTAAGTTTTTTGATTGACGTTTGCTTTTTAATAATTTTGGTTGTTTTTAGCATATTTTTATTTTAATTTATCGTTCTTTTTAAGTAGGTCTAGATTTCTTGTAAGTTTTGTAAATCTAGTGTCACCGACAAAACTAACCTGGCCGTTTGTCTAGAAAAGGTCCTCCAATTGGTTGTGAACTGGGGCAGGGATTGGCTGGTTAACTTTAATGCCTCAAAAACAAACCTTCTCTCTATTACTCACCAGAGAGAAACATCCCTGCCTCCCATTAGAATGACTGCGGTCAAGTCCACGAGGGCACCTCTTTGTGACTACTCGGTCTTACGTTGTCCGTTGATCTGAGATGGAACGAATACATTGAGTCAATATCTTCGTCCACCGCAAGGAAAGTGCCGTCGCCTCTGTCTGTCTTTTTTACAAATACTTTCACGGTAACTGCTCCGGTGAGCTGCTTTCGCTGGTTCCCAGACTTCATGAATTTAAGCGCTCAACTAGACTGGCATCTTGCTTACACCCTTTCACTGTCGAAACTTTTAAATGTAGCCGTCTCTTCTACTCCGATAGCTTCATGTCTCGCACTTCTCGCCTGTGGAACTCCCCCCCTTTTTCTGTTTCCTTGATAGCTATAATCTCCAACTATTCAAATGTAATGTCAATCGACGTCTCCAGATGCCCTGATCTATCCCTTATCCTTCTCTTCATCCTTTCCTCTATCACTACTATTTGCTCTCGCTCCAACTCTCTGTAACCCCTTGCGTACTAGTGGCTTCCCGCCTTGCTTCGGGTGGAATGATTAAAAAAAAGAAGATCTGGATATAAAATTAGCTAAAGTAACTTCAATGAAGAAATAAATTGAATAACATAATCTTGTATGCTGAGATGTATGCTAGGATTTGTTCGACGTTGCGTTTCTTTTGATTTCGTAGTTGGTTTAAAGATATTTTTCAGCTGGTTCAAAACCTTTATTTATTAGAGTTGTGGGGTAACCACGTTTTGGGTTTTTTTTGGGGGGGGGTTATGAAGTTACTATAGGCGGTTTTTTCGGAGATGTTTGTTGGCCACTAGAGTGCAAATCTTACGTGCTAGGAAATCGGGGATGAATTTTCGAGAGATTTTTGACTGATGGTTCTTGAAATGAATATATATGACATTTACCATGAAATGATGGATTATTTTGAACACAGTTCCAGACCTGTTAGCGGATGGATCATTGCTAATATGAAGACGCACGTCGCTCATGCATGATGGGTCTCCAACATATTTTAATCACATCGTTTAAGTTGCATTGGCTAACATCTACCAGGAGGACCGGCTCCATGACCTGCATCTTCCTGCGTCTTCAGTCCTTTCGATTTTTATCTGTAGGGACACCAAAAACTATTACTTTATTCAGCAGATATTCATAATGCAGAGACACTTCACCAACATGCCATGGAGGCCTGAGAAAACATCCCACTCCCTGTGTGAGTATTTGAAAGGGTCCAACAGTCAATGATACGACGGGTGCATGCATCTGTAGAATCAAGAGCTATGATTTGGTGTGTTGTGGTACAACAATTGCCTTTTGGACATATATTATATATAGCCTTTTTTTGTTGTTTTGGGGTGAGGAACCCCCCTCCCACCATACACACTGACTACTGTACTGTACTGATGCGGCATTCACCCTGGGCAGATTGAGACGGCTTCTTCCTGTTATGAGAAGAAGATTCTTGGGATAAATTACAGAAGTAGGGTACCCAGGCCTACTCGAATAACGTTCTTGCTTACCGCGGGGTTCCCACAAAAGCAGAGACAGGAACGACCAGAAGCCGCCGGTTACCGATGCAGACGCTCCTTGGATTTTCACCAGAGCCCTTGTTAGCCGGCGTGTGTGTCAGACCTGTCCGCCTTGGGAGGCCCTACCAGGAACGAAGTTCCGGGCGGCATAGCTCTGACCCTACCGTTTACACCCCCCCACCGACTGTGAGGTAAGGGTTGGACTTTGGGGGCTTACAGTACCAGGTGTTCCCAAGCGGTCCCTCATCTAAGTACTGACCTGGCTCTACGATGCTTAACTTCGGTGATCGAACGAGAACCGGTGTTTCAGCGTGATTTGACCGTAAGCATACACACGGCAAAGTTTGTAACAAATATTTTTGATATATCCTGTATTTATAATAATAGCTGGCGAGAATACCCGTCTCATAGGGCGGTTAACCAATTCCTATTGCAGACTCTCGCTCAGGTACATTTGTTTTTCTTCAACACCCACAGAGCTAATCTGTGGTTTATACTGGAACTATGCTGAGCAGACCTTAGTTAGGGTTTCTGGGAGGGAGCCTGTTATATAGAATGATCAACAATCTAAACATCACCAGCACACTCAAACCCTCAGTCAAGATGACTTCTGACTTCATGCTAGCACGACTATCGACAGTCTCAAGTGCTCCGTCTACCCAAATTCACTCACAAGTCTTGAGTCAACCCGTGTTATGGTTTTCAGGCACTTTATAAATGTACCGCACGCTGGGATCATTTCCACTACAGACCGTATATATATATATATATATATATATATATATATATATATATATATATAAATATATATATATATATTTATATATAATTATTTATTTTTAAAAAAATTTATAACATAAATATGTTATAAAATCACTACAAAAATAGCCATTTTGTTTCAACACCCTCGGTGTCTTATCAAGTGATGATGTTGAATGTAAAATAAATGGCTTTAAAAGTTTGAAATTAATTAACTATCCTTTACAAGGAGAAAACGTTGTTACAAAAGCTAGATGGACCAATCAAAATACAAGTATAGGAAAATTCAAAAAGCTTAACGACGGAGTCATGTTAGAATAGCTATTCAGATGTTTAAAATATGGGTAGTATTAAAAAAGAATTTATTCTAACCAATAATTCCTAAATTATATGATAAAATTTAATATTAAAATTAAAAACTGCTAATTTCAAAATCAAAATTTAATCGATATTAAGTTTACAACTATAAAATTACTGAGGAGAAAAGCAGAAATATATATGTTATTCAATTTATTTCTTCATTGAAGTTACTTTAGCTAATTTTATATCCGGTCCTTTGAGAATGTATACATTTTAATCTTAAAGTATATATATATATTTATATATATATATATATATATATATATATATATATATATATATATATATAATAATGTAATATGCCAAATAAAGATAAATTGAAGAAAAATATTAGGTTGTCCCAGAATTTTCAAAAAGGTGAATATTTTTGCATTGGAGATCAGCATTAAAAATGTTTGCATTTTTCTTTTTACTAGTAATCTTACTACTTTGGTGGTAAGACCGATTGGAAATACACATCTTTGGTGGTAAGACCGACTGGAAAAACACATTTTTGGTGGTAAGACCGATTGGAAATACACATCTTTGGTGGTAAGACCGATTGGAAATACATATCTTTGGTGGTAAGACCGATTGGAAATACACATCTTTGGTGGTAAGACCGATTGGAAATACACATCTTTGGTGGTAAGACCGATTGGAAATACACATCTTCGGTGGTAAGACCGATTGGAAATACACATCTTTGGTGGTAAGACCGATTGGAAATACACATCTTTGGTGGTAAGACCGATTGGAAATACACATCTTTGGTGGTAAGACCGATTGGAAATACACATCTTTGATAGTAAGACCGACTGGAAATACACATCTTCGGTGGTAAGACCGATTGGAAATACACATCTTCGGTGGTAAGACCGATTGGATATACACATCTTTGGTGGTAAGACCGATTGGAAATACACATCTTTATCTCATGTGCAGCCCCACCCCAACCCCAAACACAAAGTTTCACAATAATATTTATATATTTGTTGCACACACACACACACACACACATATATATATATATATATATATATATATATATATATATATATATATATATATATATATATAATATATATATATATATATATATATATATATATATATATATGTGTGTGTGTGTATATGTGTGCACGCTGGTGCACGTGGATGGTGTCAAAATACGTATATAGTGCACAATAAAATATAAACTCAGGTAAAACCATTCCTCTCGACATTTCTGGGATGTGGAATTATCATTTTTTTTATTTTACTGATAACACAATAAAAAGCTCAAGAGCCTTTCAAGGTAGAGGGTTACTGAATTATGATATTGTACGAGGATATGTAGGAAAGACAATGAAGAGATTAAATCTGTAGAAATCGAGAAAGCATCCACTTGGGATTTGACTGAATTAAATTTCTTTCTTATTAATGGAATAAGAAAATAGTGGAGGATGGTTTACATTATTTACTTTCGAGAAAATAATCTTTTGTTGTAATTATTTCAAAATCTCGACCGTTGTGCGCCCTGGCCTTTTTCGCGTAAAAATAGCCTCGTGGTTTGAATCGTGGCTTCGTGAATTTTGATATCGTGGTTGAAAGTACAATTATTAGAACGGGTAGCTTAACCATGGCGTGAATTAAAACCTCAGTAGCTAGTGATAAAGTGCAAAGCAAAAAATCCCAAGAGATGAACGGTAAGAGCAGTTTAACCCTGTAGTTTAAATAAACGTTTCATTTCAAAATCTTGACGAACAGAGATTGGCAGCTGCCTTCTCTTCTAATCTAACACTAACCAGTGGGGAAAAACTGGTTGGATACATTCCATCACTGATTATCAGACCCCGAACTACCGCCATTCACAATGAACAGATATCCCCTCTAGAAGGCTCCGTGCCTCAAGAGTAAAATAATTGTAGCTATGTTGTTTTTTGTAAACAAGCGTTCATAATGTAAGGGAGCTAAGCAGAGATGCTAAAAATGCAAATGGCATTATATATTATTGAGGTCTGAAACATGCCCCACACATGCCCAATGGGATTTAAATCTGTTGGGCATTGAAGATAAGATTAATGACCCATCAGAAGAGGAATCAACAAATAAGATTAGCTTATTATATTATTAATTAATATTTGGTCTATAACAGAATCTCTAAATATGTCCTATATGTAAATATGTCCTATAAACTTTGTAGTATTTCCTAACAGGTAGAAGGTAGTTATTAACAGCCAGTCATCTGAGGAACTGGCAGTCAAAACAGGCATCACCAAGAGGTCACTTCTTGGACCAACTCATATAAATGAACTACTTAAGAATATACTCTGATCATTTGTAAATGTCTATGCCGATGATACAATGATATATGGATGCACTTCCAAAGGTCTTGATGATCAGAGATTGGCAACTGACCTCTCTTCCAATCTAACACTAACCAGTGGGGAATAACTTTCTGGATACATTCAATACCTTGAAAATCAAGCTGGTTACATTCCATCAATGGTGATCAGACCCCGAACTACCTCTACTCACAATGAACAGATATCCCCTCTAGAAGTCGCCGTGCCTCAAGAGTATATGGGGCCTCAAATTCATATCCGAGCACGTGGAAATCTTATATACGTTCCATCGCTAAGGATGCAGGTAAAAATGATCGGCTCCCTGTAAGTCCCTAACTCTTAATCCTATTCTCTACTTCTACCAGATTAGGCCGAAAATTGAGTACTGTTGTCATATTTGGGTGGGAGCTGCCCAGTCCTCAATATCTAGTTTTGCCAGTTCAAAAGCGTCTCCGTGTTGGAGAAGAATTATTTTCCACCCTCTGACCTCTCCCTCACAGACGGGATGTGGCGAGCCTCTATCTGCTCTGTCACTACTTCCATGTAAAGTGCTTGGATGAACTACATTCTCTGGTTCAGCCACGTCTAACTTTCACGCCTAGGACCCGCCATGCCACTTACATTGGAGAGAAATACCCACATTCCCTTTATATTCCATCAGCGTGATGTAAGTTCCATAAAACTAGCTTCTTCCCGCGAATCACTGCTCTGTGGAACAATAATAGTAATGCAATAGTCTTCCTTGTAGATCACCCCAGGTCTTCTTTCCCGATCATCACATGCTTATCATCTTCAAGTTTCGTTTCCAGCGTTACCTACTTTCAGCAATCTCATTCAGTAACATTCGGCTATCAGTGGCACTTGAGCGTTGTATCGAGAGGGAAACAGGAAAAACAAATATATATATACCCGGATGTATTGGTGATTTGAAACAAAATCCTTTAAGCCATAAAATACTTGAAATACAAAATATAATACTCATCGTTATTTCTTTCACCTGTGTAGATTTATCTGCATGTAGTGACCTCACCTGTGTAGATTTCTCTGTATGTATTGACCTCACCTGTGTAGATTTCTTTGCATGTAGTGACCTCACCTGTGTAGATTTCTTTGCATGTAGCGACCTCACCTGTGTAGATTTCTCTGCATGTAGTGACCTTCACGTTGAATGCATTTCACCCATTCTGCTAGCATTCTCTGATACAAAAAGCTTTTTGTGTCTTGTAATATCTGGTTGTGACTTTGGAGCAAATCCTACAACACAGAGCAAATACAAAACACAACAACAGCAACAACAACAACAACAACAACAATAATAATAATAATAATAATAATAATAATAATGCACAGAGAGAACAATCAAAGCTAACCACCAAGACATTTTATTAGAGACCGGAAGTAAAAAAAAAATTGCATCCTTATTGCTGTGGTTTCCGGATTGAAATCCAGTACCAATAAATAACAAACGCCAGGAATGAATATATGAAAATAATGTATTAACGTAATAATACAAACTGGTAAAGCAGATTAGTAGTTCAGGAATACGGGTTAGTATCAATATATATATATATATATATATATATATATATATATATATATATATATATATATATATATAGTATTTGGTATATATATATATATATATATATAGGTATGTATGACTGCTTACTGAGTCTACGTGCTCGCTCACTGTGACTCCTACAACGCTGTTACCTCACCCTCACTCTTCCGGTTACCTACAACATTTTACTCTGTCACTCTGGACTCGACTCGACTCGTCGGGTATTCACTGGCAGTAGTATAAGTATAAACTGGGTGAGTCCATTTGTATAAAAAGGGGTGGACCCCTCAACACTTATCGATATAGCAGTCCCTGCAGACTGCAATGCATATTTGAAGAT